TACGGTACCGCATAACGTCCAAACGATCATAAAACGCACGGGCGATCAGTGCGCTCATTCGGCCGATTATATCAACCTGATTGAACTATAATTGACCCAGACGTCAAAACAATCCAACCAAACAGTCAACCAACCAATGTCGCAGTATTATTCGAGACCTTTATTTGTTCGACCCCCAAATTCATTGAGTGATTATCCTTTTAACCGGCCATCATCATGGTGGTTGGTCAATGGGATAAATGCAATGGGATACAAAATTCATCTCAAACAAACTTCTTTACTGTCAGTTTGTCATCGTCTGTTTCTTTGTATAAAAGGATCGGGAAGTTCGTTCTCTTTCAAACTGGAGATTTGGCTATATAGGATAATGCTTCATCCCTTGAAATCCTTGACTGCGTCGTGTAAACATTTGACTTCTCCCAATAGGCCGTCAGAATTGCATTTTCGAACCCTAGCCTAATTTATATATACTGACCGACTTTGGGTATTTCCTCGCGGTCAATCTCTTGCTACGTCAAATATTCTGAAAATTCGCATTTCCTACTATTTTCTCACTTTTCAGCTAAACGAAAGCAACCATATACCTAACAATTTAGGTCTTAATTATGTAATGTCGCCGCCTCAGCATGTCGCACATCCTGNTGCAATGTCGCATTCAGCCAATCACGCCTCACCTAATATGATGTACACACGAAGCGGTTCAATAGTTGAATGACGTTTGTGAGGAAGGTACATAGATGCCAGCAGTCGCAGACGTAACAATGTGCATCCCCTTGTCTATCAGACACCAGTAGAACGTGTTGCACGTGTTAAATGAGCCAGATGCAACTTAGAGTTATGTAGCGAAATCTATTGGTATTTCAAGTTTATCGGTTGATAGTGTTATATCCAATTGAACGAGTATCGGAGGTTTAGCAAACAGGGGAGTATCTCAGGAAAGATGCCTCCTGAAAACCAACTAAATGTTCAAGGCAGTTAAGAACACGCTTTTGGCCCTGTTCACCACTGTGAGAGAAATGCATAGCGAGTTCTCAGTGGCAGAGGTTATCGTTTCCAAAGCGATTGAACTAACATAAAAAGTTGAATTCGCTCTTTTTCGAGCAGATGTGGCATTCGGTCCTACAAATTGAAAAAACATGAAAGTTTGGTGGTACTACGTTATGCGCGGGAACTATTTCTAGCGGATATACCGCAGATGATCCATAGATACACCGATTGTGATATTTTAAATGCTGATGAAACAGTTTAGTATTGTAAGCAACTCCCCGAAAGGACATTGGGCTTCTAAGGATAAGCCGTTTCTGGATCCGAGAAATCCAAGAGAAGAGCCACTTTACTACTTTGTTTGCGTACGACTGTAGAACGGATGTCTCTGCTGCATTATTCGAAAGTTTTCTGACTTATATCAACCGCAACATGGTTTTCCAAGGAAGCTCTGTTTTACTATTTTGATATAACCACCCTAACCAGGAGCATTCTTGAATGAAAAATTAACGTGGCTGCCCCCAAGCCGTTCTTTAGTGTTACAACCAATAGACCAAGGCATTGTTTGGTCTTTCAAATGTTCGTTCCGGAAATATTTACTGGAATATGTTCTGTCCTTGGTACAAGACGAGCAATCCACTATAAAAGTCGAAGTAGACGTTCTCATGACCATGAACCAGGTCAACACAAGCTTGGATACGTGTTAATTTGCCTGTACAGATGAATGCCTTCACAAAATTGGGGTTCAAACCCACATCAAACCATCTGGTGATGCAGCCACCAGAGGATTAATCCCATGGGATCGAGGATTTTACGCATTACTTATCTACTGATGAGCGTCTATTTGAAGAACAGTTTGTCTGTTTAGAGTTTGTTGATGAAGAAGTGTGTAATATTGAGTTTATCGTTTATTTACCTTCATTATCAATGTTACGATAAAATCGCTAGCTACTCTCTCTCTCTCTCAACACTAACTATACTTATGCATTTTCTGTCCTATACTGAAGGCACATATAAGTATCGATCGTACTCGTGCGACATGACCCTCAGTTAAGAAATATTTTCAGTTTACGCCATCATACCTGGATGTCGATAACTACGATGGAGAGTATTTATTCCAAACTTTGTGTTTCGCGACCACAATCAATACCTGTACACTCAGAGTATCTTTTTTTCTTTTGTACGCTTTCACTTTTTTGCTAACGAGATTCTCGTGTGTTGGGTCATGCAAATGAGCTACCAAACTGCCGAGTCCATTTAGCATTCGATATGTGTGATTGGCCTCTGGTCGTGTTATCGAACACGATATGAATGTGTTGTTGGAATAGGTTACATTGTTTTTCTCTTATGCGTCAATCCAAAGAACCTGTTGCACTACCGTTTTTTTTGTTTTACTTTATTATAAATCATCTGCTCCGTATTTTCCTGAAAATATGCTTTCCCTACAATTTTCACTCAATTCTTTGGCACTTATTTGGATCGCTTCTTTAATCTGGTACATTTCCAAGGAAAAGTAGTGAAGTTTTTCTAATTATTAAACAGCTACCAGTTTCTGTATTGTTCATTTTTAAACACCCACTCTCGTGCAGTGGTTTCGGTTGCTGTTTTTGGATTGTTCGTTTGGTTGTGAAATTGCGAACTATTAGATAAATGAAGTAATACGCTGAGAACAGTATCGAGGTAAATATACACAAGCCAGATGAACCAAATGGGTGGCGAATCTAAGTGAATGCGTAAATGCCACGGTTGCCCAGTGTCCCGGACCATTTATGATTTCGTTCTCAAGATCCCCAACCAAGAGGCTTAATGATATCAATGTGTCCAGGTCCTTTTTACCCCACTGCTAGATCTTAGTTCGGTCTTTTTCTAACTACTACCTAATGTGGCAAATATCACACACCGGGAAAACCTATGCAACGACATGCGTAACAAGCTTCATCAGCTGCAATCAGTTGAGGTCAGGTACATGTATCAGTAAGCGGCAGTGATTCCATACTATTCCTCATCAAACCTCACCCTTACTTGT